GTGTGTGTGTGTGTGTGTGTGTGTGTGTGTGTGTGTGTGTGTGTGTGTGTGTGTGTGTGTGTGTGTGTGTGTGTGTGTGTGTGCGTGTGTGATGTTCGCCATAACTCCACAAAAAAGGCATGCGTGTGCCAAACTGTTTCGTCAGACTTTCAGTGACTCAACAGGAGGTTGACAGTCGCACATAATGCATTGGGCTTATGGATAAGTCCTCACCACTTCCCCATAGTTAGTGATACACCTGAGAAAAGTGGTTGACTTCACTCACACCAAACGTGCAATCCTAACAGGTTGTCGGTCCAAACTCCTGATAAGAATGGCAGTAAGTCTGAGAAACTAGTCTGTCACATCCACAAAAAATGTGTGTGTGTGTGTGTGTGTGTGTGTGTGTGTGTGTTTGTGTGTGTGTGTGTGTGTGTGTGTGTGTGTTTTCGCTAAACACAACTCGACAAAACGGGTGACTGTAACAGACTGTTTCGTGGAACCTTCACTTGCTCATCAGGAGGTTGAACCTCGACAGTCTTCCCAGGATGCATTTGACCGATACATAAGGACTCACCACCATGCCCAAAAAGCTAGCGACAGCCTAGAGAATCAAACTACTGACAATAATGTTAGAAGTCTGGGAAACCAGTCCATCACAGCCAGAGTTGCGCTGCCAACCATCTTTAGTGGAGAGGAGCATTTTTCTTTTTAGTTGGAACCTGACGCAACCCACCTTGGTACAGCCCGCCCTTGCCCAAAACAAAAGAATTCCGCCTCAAGACCACCCAGCCCGCCCAAGTATTTTTCTAAATTACACTTCCGAGCCCGATCAACCCACCACCCAAAAAACAACTTTTCACCCTAACCCACCTTCACCCACCACAACATCATTACCTGCCTGCACCCTCGTCATTCCAAGACCTCCAACACTTGACGCCCTCCAACTGGTCGAAGTCGTTCCACTGCCTCCTTGTCGCTGCTTCGCCTTGCACTGCCAATCAACAGATATTCGGTGTGGGATGCAAATAAAGGGTGGTTATTTCGAAATAGGGAGCAAATCGTGCCGCCTAGTGACGTCAGATTCACTCCCTGTTGTTTTGACATGAGAGTTCTGATCAGAAGACACGTCATCAACTATGGGTGCACACGAGAAAACCCATACAATTTCAGTTCCACGGTGAAAGCGGAGAAAAATTCACGGAGTTGATGCTATGGATGCCATCATCATCATCATCATCATCATCATCAGGCTTCGTTTTCTGCCCAGCCAGTTTTTTTTTTTCTTTAGTTAGTCACAATGATGATGGTGATGAAGACGATCATGATGCAGATGATAAGGATGACAATAGTGATTAGGATGGCAATAATGATGATGCTGGTGATGACGCTCTGTTATCTGCCTGGCGGGCTTTTCGTTTGCTTCAGTCCTTACAATGATTATCATATGAGTGAAACAGCTCCGAGTTACCAGAGACAGTTCAGTTCAGTCATGAGACCTCAAGGCTGCCGCGCTTATTTAAAGTTCGAGTTTTGGGGGGGGAATGCAATCTATCACACATCCTATTTGATAATCTTCTCGAGCCGCACTTCATGCTTGGTCCTGTCAATATACCTCGTATGATTATCACTGTGATAATCATATCTCATTAACCATCTATGAGCCATGGCAACCACCAGCACACCAGAGCTGCACAGTTGAAAAATCATGTGACAGAGCTCTCTCTCTCTCTCTCTCTCTCTCTCTCTCTCTCTCTCTCTCTCTCTCTCTCTCTCTCTCTCTCTCTCTCTCTCTCTCTCTCTCTCTCTCTCTCTCTCTCTCTCTCTCTCTCTCTCTCTCTGTGTGTGTGTGTGTGTCTGATAATGTGCATGCAAACCGTAGCCAAATGGCTACCGTCTTCACCCGAATGGAAAACCCAGTCGCGGCATCTGGACTGAAAGTTGCCCCAAAAATGCAGCCATAATGACCGGGCGTTCTATTTGGGTGAAGACGGTACCCATGGGCTATGCCTTGAAAGCAAGGCTGGCAAAGAAGAACTGGCACAAATTGAAGAATGGTTCAAATTGTAAAAGAAAAAAAGAAAAAAAGATGTACAAAGCAGTCCTTCGCCGGCTCATTCAGCACCACTGTATTTTTTCACTAGAAGGGAGATCATGGTCACCATCATGATTAATGTAGGATTCTGCGTGGTGATTTGATGGTGAAAAAAAAAAAAAGATTCTATGGTGACTTGAAAGTTGAAACACACAACTCTGTATGTCACATCTCTATGGCTATTGGCATTCTCTGTCGGCGACTTCGTACCATGTATAACTGTCCAAACTGCACAGTGTGCTTGACTTTTTGTGGAATGAAGAAAGAAGTATCGCCAACCCGCCACTCTGGTGTGGTGCCAGAGTTTCAGGTTTGCCCCATACTGCCGAGGCTCTGTTCCATTGGTTGGGGGCAACACCTGCTGGCAACAGAGGCCAACATCCCATGATGTATAACAGTTCAAGCAATATGAATGAGAATAGTCCTGTTTTCTCTGATCTTTAGCCAGGCCACCGTTCAGAGCTTTGTGATCAAGTCTACTGCAAGGCAAATGAGCGATAGCGAACTTCAGAAATCAACACAGCATCATACACATGAGACCAGATAGTCGTGACCTCGAACCAATAAGATCACAGCAAAAGCTCATAATTGACAATGTTCGAATAGTCTCATCATCATCAACAGAGAACCAATGTCGATATCCTATCTGGCACTCAGCGCCCAGACTAGAGATGGCAGATCCTATCTAGCCTATCTACAATGCCGGTGATGACGTCAACAGCTCCCCGAAGTACGAGCAGATCTCGGCCAATGCCATTCGCCTCAAGCACCAGGTATGCCTCTCGCATCACTCACAACCTCGATCCCCAACTCACAGATGCCACATGCACCCAAGAACCACCATGCGCCCCATCCAGCATACAGCAGCGCAGCTCGGCTATGGCTGCCTGCTCCTTCCAGCTCGCCCGTGAGCGCGTGAGCGCTGGCCAGCGTTACCGCAGCAGCGCTTGCGCAGCATGCAGCCAGTGCCCGAATGAGGAGTGCTGGGGCAGGCACTTTCCTAAATGGAAGTGTCCTGCCTGCTGCGTGCGGCCTGTCTGCTTTGGGCCTCGGCCCAGAAGCTTCCGGTAGCCCCTGTGAGGCTGACCCCCAGTCCGAACGAGTCAGGCCCAGGGCCTGTGTTGGTTACCCGTGCCCAACTGCCCGCAGCCTGTGTTCGGCCCATGTTGTGTATCTGGCCCAGGGCCTGCCTCGGTTACGTATGAGAAAGGCAGCAGGGCCTGGGCTCTCTCAACCAACTGGCGCTGCGCAACTGCCTGAATTTCCCCAGTTGCGTGCTGACCCAAAAATGGGCCTGTAGGCCTTGGTCGAGCCTGCCTTCAGTTAGGGCGGCCGACTGTACTGAAAGTAGGGCCCAGTAGGGCATATCGAGGCCTTGAGCCTCGCACTACCATCATCACTCAACAGGGAAATAAGAAGAAGAAGCCCAAGCAGAGGGTGAGGAGGACCATGGGATTTGACACAGGTTGTCCCGACCACTAGACTCAAGAGAGGGAAAAGTGTCTGGGAACTCTGATGCTGGATGAAGGGGCCCTAAATCCTCCCCCCCCCCCCCCCTCTCTCTCTCTCTCTCTCTCTCTCTCTCTCTCTCCACGAGTTATGTTGCTGTCCTGTCGACAAGCTTTGTGTGTATCCATCCAAGTCTGTCCATTTGCAAGACAAGTTCCTCTGTAAGTGTTAGATCAACCTGCAAACAACCAAAATTTATAGTGCATGCACATGTCCAGAAAAATGGAAAATCTCAGACAAGGATAAAATCATAAAACTGTTGGCTGTGATTCTGTGACGCAAGTGGCCCCGCTGCGCCACCCCAGTGCCATCACTGGAAAAACTTTCAGCAGCCAGGGGACTAGTACATACTATATATTCTACTCGCTCTAGTTTTCCCTAATATGTCATGACTGGTGCAGCCCGCTGGCATGGTAAAAATGGTTAGAATGTGAAGCTGCTCACCTGACAGGGTTATCGACTCTCCCCGATAAGTCTATCTTGTGGCAATGGGTACGCCGTTCAGATTCACGTGTACGAAGTAGGAGAAGCAGGTGCTGAGGGGGTCAGAATGGTGTCGAGTGGGATGGACAGGGCGGTGGGTTGATGCCGAATTTCATGTAGAGGTGGGGTTTGTGGAAGGGGGAGAAGGTGGTGCAGTGCTAAGCTACTAAATGGCGTACAGGTTGAGTGATGTGGGGGTTCAGGGGAGAGTCGAAGGACAAGGGACAGGAGGGTTAGCTGATGAGGTGAGGGTGGGTTGACAGCTATAATGACCACATGACGGCAGACATTCTTCTTTTTTTTATTAACAAGGAGGAGTTCATTACAGGCTGGGAAACAGGCCCAATGTTCCTCACATCATTAGCTGCCGCCTGCAGGGATGAGCCAGGCTCTCCGGCCAGGATTAACCCCAACTGCAGCAGACGACCAAAGAACGGGCTTTCCTTCATAGGATTGCCAAAAACAGTCCTATCAGTCACACAACCTGCAATGAACAGTACAATTCCTATTCCCACAGCTGCTACTCTTATGGGGGAGCTCGCTAACTACGTGAACTACTCTATCTGTTTTCAACTATCCAGCCCTTTCTATGTACTCCCCCTTTCCAAATCTTGACTATCAGGCCATTACTTATGTAGAGTTACTGCCCTATCTATTCTAAACCCTCCTACCCTTCCTACCTACTGTCCCTTTCTAAGAAGCCCCAACTCTCAACTGTTCAAACAGTCCAACATTTACCTACGACACTCGTTTCATGGTAGCGCTTGTGCTCATGGGGCTGGGAGGTGTGGGGGCTGAGATGCAGTGGTGTTGTACGGTTCTTGGGGGGGGTTGTGGTGGCGGGGGGGGAGGAGGCGAGGAGGGGGCCGTGGGGGCTGGCAATGGTACTATGCTCCTATTGGGACCATGGATCAGAGTTGTTGGAGGGGTTGGCATTGGTTGGTAGCTGTTCACAAGGGCCTGGTGCTGCCTGTGAGTATCGAGGGAACACTTCCATTTGTTTGTGTAAATCTATATTGATGGACAGGCTGGGATAGCCCAATTCTTGACCTATTTTGGTGGATATGTGGACATTCTGTTGAGTGCTTGGACTGCAGGGGTTGCTGAGATGGTAATTGTGGTTGTGTCGGTTAACAGTACTGTCACTGTTCTTTGCATTTGTGTTTGCTTTCAAATTTTGTGCCACTCATAAATATCAGGCATGTTCCATTACAAGCTAAAGGATTTCCAGTCTGCAGAAGCGGACATGCGGACAACGATTGAGAAGGACCCTAATAATAAGCAAGCATGGAATTTCCTTGTATGGGAACTGATCTTCTGTACGCAAAGCTGGACCTTATCCCCATATCTTCAACCCACCATCCACGTCAAAAGAGTGCTATTGCGGTAAACGTAGGCATACAATCCCCTTCGTTTCCCTGGTTTGTTTTCTCCACATGCCACGTCTCTGCTCTGATGGGCCTAGCTCACTTAGTACACCCATGAACTCTTGAAATACAGACTCAAGTTCGAATCCATATGAAAGGAACAAAAAAATAATTCTGAATTACCTGGGGCCAGTCAGTTCAATGATCATGTCCCAAGGCTGTCGCCCTTGTTAAGAACAGGGGAAAAAAAAGCAAGAGAGTTCTGTTTGATATGTGTGCAAACTGCAAGATTATGTCGAATTTGGAATTTCAAATTTCCCTTGCGAGATTACTTTGCGGCAGGGCTGGTTCTCGGATGGACCGGGGGCCCCTCCCCCGACCGGGAGCCTGCCGGTTTGACCAGGCAGTCGACTGGCCCACCAGACCCCCAGTCGAACCCAGTGCATCACGCTGCGTGTGGGATACCGGGGAGCCATGGGCATCCCTGCAATTGCCCAGCCCCTGGGAGCTTGCTGCCTCCTTTAAAATAAAAACGGGGCCTTTTGGACCCCAGTACTTGAAAAGAACCGGCAGAGGATCTCTGCCGTTGATCTTCGCAGATCAGCGGCAGAGAACCCCCGCACGTTTTATTCAAGATGCGGGGTCCAATAGGCCCCTTTTTTCAATTTGGCATCGTGTGGTCCAGTGGACCACGGACCAGATGTAATTGGCAGGTGTCCTGGTACTCCTCCACATTGAGCCAGGAGGAAAACAATGTGCTGTCATAGTGGCTTTGCTGAGATTATATGCTTCTGCAACATCCCCACACTCTGGGAAAAAAGTTATGGGTTTGGGTTTCGGTTTGTGAAGTAACAATGCTGTCCGAGGTGCAAGCCCAATAACAGACCTCGCCCCACTACATGTATCTGGACTGCCAGGGCAAGATAGTTTCGGACTCATAACCCACCATATGTGGGAAAAAACAAACAGAAAATGCTCTGCGTGCACGAGCTGAAACCTGAACCCAATAGCTTTTCTGCTGTCGAGCGATACTCTGGAAGAGTTAAAAGTTTTGGCGAGGACCTCCTCTCAACATATCTCGTTCAGCTTCTTGGGTGTCCATATCTAATGGCGTAGTCCACAATATCTTATGGTGCTGAATTGAAATTTTGGGGCAGGCGGGGTCAGATAAGTAAGCTTGTTTACTTGACCCCTCCACCTGAAAGCCATACCTCCCTGAACATCCCCATAATACCCACCCCTTCCCCCTGGGAACCCCCCCCCAAAAAAAACACACCTTCAAAATTTTATTGCGGTTTTGAGTCTTTTGACAGATCTGGAAGAGCGCAGGGGAAAAAAATAAAAATAGTTTAAAATACAAAAATCAAATTTGAAATTTGGCCATTTTTTGAAAACCGGTTTCCCGGTTCACCCCCCCTGGGCCGGTCCGACCCCGATTGGACCGGGCGAGCTGAACCGGCCAGTTGCCAGTCCGGCCTTCCTTAGCGGTTCATAATAAAAAACTGGAAAAAGGATGTCGTAGCCTTACTTTGCAAGGGGTATATAGGTAATACGAGTACTGTGTTTGGAACTAGTGGTCCGCTGATGGTGAAACTGTCAGTCAGATTGTCAGCACTGATTCGGGAAAATAAGAGTATTTAGAAAGGGGATTCCCCAAGAATCTAACACATCAATACCTTTTGGAGGCCAAATAGCTCCAATTTCTACGGTAGGCGCCAGACTTAAAAGAAAGAAAGCCCAAAAAAAAGCTACAAAAAACATTACTTCTGACAAAGCGATTGATTACATAATCGAGCAAAGAAGGAAAGAAAACTTATGCTCCGTGAGGTTTCAGTAAGCTAGAGCAATCAATGAATTCAATCCCACCGGGCCATCGTCAATTTTCAATTCCCATTAGCTAAGGGTTCAGTCTAGATAAGAGCTGGGATGGTTGGATTTGGCTGGCGGCGTATTATCTTGTTTACGCAACGAGACAGACACGACTTATTTCATGCGTGGAGCATGCATGAAAGACACCTGGAATGACAAACTCATTCCGGGGACCATAGCCTGTCGTGAAAGGAGATCACTGGATTTAGCCAGTCCTTGGAAGATCTCCGACCATGTCTCCGAGATGCAGTTGAACGGGGAGTTCGTGAACGCGAGGTGTAGGTGGGATACCAGACCAGACGTGGCAAGGCACGAAGCAACGTCTTCTCTGTATTTACGTTGATTACTGACGTACTTACCAGCACATGTAGAGAACCTAAGTCCAATATGGACCTAACACACCTGAAGCGCACTGCAGACTCAATCTTAAATGAAAATGAAAAAGATGAGAGCATACGGTGGAACCGGTGAACCATTCAAATCTCTTTTCGAATGGGGCTCAACCCTGTCTTACAAGACCCCGTATTGGCTATACAATGTATACATCCTCCTTGTATTTATGCGGGATATGTTGCCCGTACCATTGCTTTGGGGTTACCACCAGCTGGGAGTACAGAAGAGAAAAGGTGCTTGTGGCACCAGCTTGTAGGGACCCCTGCCTAGCACGGACCTGGAGACTGGACCCATCCGGACACTGGACACTGGATGGTCTGGTCTGGATCCGAATGTCCGGATTTGGCTCGGAGCAGAGGCAGCGCCATTTTTTTTTTTTCTGTTCATTGTTCAAATTTTCCTCAAATTTGGTTGCGGATTTTGAAATCACCCTCAGCCAAAACTTATGTTTGTTGAATTGCTGCACAGCGTTTGTTTTTCCACGTTTTTTTGCATTTACTGAAAAATCAAAATGTTAGGAATCAGACCTACAACTGAACAAGATATCCTAGCCGACATCAGAAAGCAACCGGAAATCACCGTTTGCTCCTGGAACGTGAACGACCTAGCCTCAGTGCTAGACAACCCAATCAAATGGAAAAATCTATTAGAAACCATAGGATGGTTCGGACCTGAACCCTCGGACATAACATGCCTGCAAGAGACCCATCTTACCGACAACGAAGATCACCGAAGAATTAGAACAGCTCTCGTCAGAAAACTTTTCTTCGTCAAAAAGGCCTATTGGACTCATGCCGGCCCGAATGACTCGGCCAACACGGTCATCCTCCTACACCAACGCTCAAGGGCAAATAACGATATAACAATCCAGAATACTTGGCAGGACAACGTCTCAGGCCGATGGACCAAGTTGTACCTCAAATTCAAGGAAGAAGAACTCACGATCATAGGAATTTACGGTCCCACAGCTCATTCAGACAAAACTCCCTTCCTTCACACGGTGGAACAACTAATCCCCGGACACAAACATGCGATCCTCATGGGGGATTGGAACTCCGTACAGAATCCCACCCTTGACAGAATTTCACACTCAACCGACCCTTCTCAACAATCAAATAACCTAAATCTCTCGGAATTCATTACAAGTAAAAGCCTAGTAGACCCGTTCCGTATACCTTTTTTTTTTTTTTTTTTTTTTTTT